GTCTTCAAATACTGAAGAATTAAAATTGAAATGCTATGTTGATAGTGATTATGCAAATGATGTAAAAACCAGAAAGTCCAATTCTGGGATTGTGGTATTGCTTTGAGGGGCTTTAATTGGTTGGAAATCCAGGAAGCAAACAACTATGTTGAGGTATTAAGATTTAAGAGCTGACCAGCAGCAGTAATAGCTGCCTGATGGTGTAAGTCTGATGCAATGTTAAGCTGATTAAATGAAGGCGATTCAGTGTAGCATGGGTATTTCGCTTTAAGACTGGGGATGGGTTCTTCCCCTTTAAGGAAGAACTATAAAGGCAGTCATTATAGAGACGTGTTCTCTCACCTTGTGTCCTGTATCCAGTGCAGAGTTTCTCCATGTAGAGTTAAGAAGGTATTTATCTACCATACTATATTTCTGTATAACTGTTGTATATAAACCACTGTTAAATGTTTAAGTCTCTGTGTGCTATGTTTTACTCCTTTGTTGTCATGCTGCAAACGCTCTGACAGGTTATGGGCCCAGTACAGAGAGAAGGTCAGAGTGACTGGAAAGCCTAGAGAGAAGAGAAACCCAGTGGGAGCTTGCACCAGAGTAAGTGGTTTAAATTGTGGTTAGTGGCTTGTGGAGGATACTATGAAATATGGCCTTAGTCGGTGTAATGGGAGGAAGTTTGCTGGTGTTTCGGTTGAATGAGACAAACTACCTCTCCTGGAATGTGAAGATGGAGATGTATCTACGGAGGGAGGAGTTGTGGATGATTGTTGCTGATCCACTGGCAGTCCTGGATGATGGGGATAAGAGGAAAAATGAAAAGGCTTTAGCCAGTATAATTTTGGCTTTGGAGGACAGTCCGCTGATACATGTGAGGGGTCTCCAGTCTGTGAAAGAGTGCTGGGAGGCATTGCACTCTGTACGTGAGAGAAACTGTGTGCAGTAAAGTGTTGCTGACTAGGAGATTGCATAAGGCACAGCTGAAGCCGGGGGAGTTTATGTCCACACATCTGCAGAATATGAGAAGGACATCCCTTGAGCTGGAAGAAAGAGGAATGACATTTACTGAGGTACACTAGGTGTATGTGGTGCTCAGTTCTTTGGACAGTTCATGGGTCATTTTTTTGACCAGTCGAGTCTATGCAAGAGCAGGATTTAACCATGTCATATTTAACTGGTCGGTTTTAGAGGAGGAGGAGAAAGGGCTGGAGAGGCAACCTGGAAAGGGAGGAGAGAGCGTTCAGCACAAACCAGCATCTACAAAAGGCCAGGATGGCGGCAGAGCAGCTGAGACAGTGAACTTCATGAAGAGATGCTTTACATGTGGTTCTACTGAGAATTTCCAGAGACGCTGCCCTGAGAGGAGGAACAGAGGAGCAGTGAGACAAGGGAGCAGGACTACTCAGCACATGTGGAGCAGTTCTCCAGTGTTATTTTCCCTGGTAGCATCAACTGAATACACCAGGAATACATGGTTGTTAGGCAGTGGGGTGAGCCAGCATATTTCTAACAATCCACACGTGTTTTCTGGTTTGAAACCAGCAAAGCAAAAGTAAATTAGTCTGGCCAATAGACAAAGAGCTGCTGTAAAAGGGGAAGGTAATGTTTATGTATCAGAAATAGGTAATACATTGTACAATGTTTTACATGTACCTGCATTAGAACATAATTTGTTGAGTATATCCAAATTAGATAGGGTTATGAAATACTATTTGCAGGGGGACAGTACACTATTAGTAAAAATGGTCAGATATGTGCACAAGGGGTTAAGAAGGATGGCCTGTACATTCTGGGAAGGTAGGAAAATAGTTGTGCACGTGTACTTACACATGTTCCCACACATGATAATTGTGTACATTTGTTACATAGGAAATTGGGGCATGCAAGTTTTAACATACTTTGGAAAATGCCAGGCCTAGCTGAGGGGCTTAAGTTAAATAAATGTAATGTATATCTAGATTGTGCTGTTTGTAAGGAGTCAAAATTCAAGGTGTACCCTGTAAGTTAGAAAAGTGCAAGAACAGCAGAGTATTGCAATTAATTCATGCTGATTTGGTTGTCCCTATGGCACCTTCTTTAGGAGGAGCTAGGTATGCCTTAGTCACAGTAGATGACTACAGTAGATATGGGTATCGTTATTTACTGAAAAACAAGACTGAAGTATTGCAACAAGGTGGTTAAGCAGTCTAGTAATAAGCCATAGAAGAATGAATCCATATATGCCTGCTGAAAATGGAGTGGTTGAAAGAAAGAATGGTAACCATGAAGGACACATTGCTTGCAGATGCGGGCATGAGTAAAGCATACTGGGGGGAAACCAAAAGGACAGCAAATTATGTTATTAATAAGTTATGGAGTGTGGCAATACAGGAAACACCATATTTCATTTTACATGGAAGGAAACCCTCATTAGCTCATTTAAGAACATTTGGCAGTTATGCCTGGGTACATATTCCAAAAGGTACAAGGAGAAAGGGTCAGAAAAAGGCCAGGAAGCTTAGGTTTTGGGGTATGAGTCAGGAACAAAAGGATACAGGTTTACAGATGGTAGTAATTTCAAGATCTGCTAGTTTTGAGGAGAAGAACAATTGGAACAAGATACATGCAAATCACGAGGTATTCATGCCAATGCATAGTCTTAGTTTACCAGAAAGTGAGACAGGGAAGGAGAGATAGGAAACCAGGTGAGATATAGGTATAGAAGAGCATAGACCTTTAAGAGGTGTTTATATAAAGGCAGACATTATAGAGGGCGTGTTCTCTCTCCTTGTGTCCTATATCCAGTGCAGAGTTTCTCTGTGTAGAGTTCAGAAGGTATTTGTCTGCCATGAATATTTCTATATAACTGTTGTATGTAAACCATGTCTAAGTCTCTGTTTTGCTCCTGGGTTGTCTCATAATGGTAGTCACACTGCAAACGCTCTGACAAACTATAGCCATTTCTACTGCGGAGGCAGAATGTTTTGTTTGAACTCTGTTCAGAAATAACTTGTTACAGGATTTAAATGTAAAAGTAAATGAAGCTGTATCCGTGTATGGGGATAATGTTGCCTGCATTAAAATGGCAACAGCTAACAGAATAAAAAAATAGAAGCGAGCATGTGGACATTAAATATTGTAATGTAAGAGAAGCCATCAAATGTAAATTGATTAGCTGGCTTCACTGTGCGTCAGAAGACAATCTGGCCGAGATAATGTCCAAGCCATTGGGTGGAGTGCACCGTGGGAAGAATATTAAGTTAATTGGATTTATGTCTCTTCCAGTCATGAAGGGAGGAGTGTCAGAATATTCATGAACTGACAGAGGCATGGTAACAAGGTCAGCCAATGAATAGGCATAGCAACTAAGTCAGCCAATGAGGACTGTTTGGAAACTGAAACTGGAAGGAGCCTGGGCGTGATTCTGTATTACGCTCTGAGCTAGCTCTGAAGCTGCATTCTAGTCTGCAACTCTGAATCAAAACTGAAAGTGTTCTCTCCTCTGCTTGTGTTTTTGCCTGTAACGCTCTACCAAGTTGGAAGAATCTACTATTGATATTGTACATTTACTCATATTTATTATGTATATAAAGAAGTTATTTGAATCCTGCTGAATCAGTCATCTGTGTGTGCTTTCTGGATTTGATTTCTGCAATAAACTCTAATAAAATTTCAGGCGACAAATCCAGTTTTAAGAAGTTGTGTTTTAGCATTATTTGTGTCACTGTTTACCTTTCCCCTTAACAACTGTTTTGATAAGTTTTGTAGCAAAAATATGAAATATTATTTAGATCAGTTCCTTGTTTGTTTTAATGCAATATGATCATGTTTGATTAGAAAACAATTACTTGCTCTTAATAAATGTAACTTGAATTGTATGAGAACATTTTTCAATATTTGATTTTTTAATCAACACTGTTTCATATATGTTAGTGTTCTTGTTTTCTCTCTCTCTCTCTCTCTCTCTTTCATGTTTGGGGTATGTATACATCTTTTAGCACTCTATTTTTGAAATCTTAATATATCTTTCTCCGTGTCTTGCAACATCATTTGACAGTTTGCCTAGTTTCAGACATTTCAGGATGCTGGTCTTGAGACCCTGCATCCTAGTAGCATGCACTGTTGTTGTCAGATCCCTAAAAGTGATGTTGCCATTCAGTTGGGGGAAGGGGGGGGTCTTGAATTCGATTCATTATTATTGCCTATGACAACTGCTATTTTATAACTTGTATCCCAGTGCCAGAGTGCCCTGAGATTTTTTTCACCTCTTAGGGAATGTGGTGGGGGGAGGGCCACGTGGGTTGTTTCATTTTGAAAGCCAGCAGAGATGTCCATGGGAATGCCTGCTTATCTATTTCTCAAAGCGGCCCGTACAATAACATCTTCACACCTGTGGATTGGCTGAATCCACATCTGGCTAAAGGGAGGGGTCTCTACTGCTTTAATTCTACTTGTCTTGCCTAAGGGTATTCAGACGTTGCCTTGAATGTATTGCTGTCACTTCTGCTTAATAAAAGGTTCCCTTTGAAATACTTCATTTCAAGAGTCTTCACTTTATTAAGTTAGGAGGTGAGGCAATCCTTAAAGTTGTATCTTGTGACCCTTAACAATGGACATCTATGAGTGATTTTAGGAGCAGTGTTTTCTCTGTAGTAATGCTATGCCAATGGAGTTCCCTTTTCAGGGAGAATTGTGTATTGTTTGATGAAAAAACCAAATCAGTTTGGTTTGTTAACTTTATCTTTTATCCTATTTGCCTCTTCTTCTCTGATTTTGCTCCTATCTTGATGGATGGAGATCCTTTCTTTTGAGGAGTGGTATTTAATGATTTTGCTAGTGGCTTGATTGTAAGATAACATGAAACCCTGAGTCTTTGAGAAGATTAACAGAAAAGGAGGGAAAGGTAGAAATTTCCAGTGAACTCATAACCCACTGTGGATTAAAATGAAATAGTAATATGGTGATATGACTCCTTGGAGGAATCCTATTCTCATGATGAATGTTTTATAAAATGTTGCTTTATTTTACAGTTGATTGCCATGTATGACGAACAAGATGCATTCCCCAAATCTGATGACACCAATGGTAGTTTAACAGAAGGCAACAGCCCAGATGCTTTTGAGACTGATGTAGCTGCCCAGCTAGCAGCATTTCAACCTATTGGTGGAGAGATAGAAGTGACATCATCTGCTCTGAAATTAGGTAGGTACTTACATTTTTAAGGAATGGATTGTTAAGATAAGAATGTCCCTTGTAATTTTCTTGAGTCTTCCAAAGGATTTATATGCAGTAATAAAATATTCTCAATATGCTACCTTCCGCATGGTAAAGGTGTGCAGAATCAGTATATGTCATTGCCCAATGCCTCAGTTGAAGGAGGAGGACTTATTTGATAATTGTCCTGGAGTTATTCCTAACCTATTCCTAACTCTGCATGTCTTAGCCTTTGGACATTTTCAGAGACTCTGCGTTAAGGAAACAACTCACTTAATCAGTCTCTTCAGAAGCAAGAAGTGCCTTTGGATTTCTTTCTTTTTTTCTGATCTTGATATACAAAATAAAGTCTTATTTTCTTAATGTCTCAGAGGCCTTCATTTTGTGGAAAGGGACCAATGAGCACCTGGCTTCCCTTCTGATGAACTACTCAAGAAGAAAGAAATATTGCCATGACCTTTGTACAAGAAGACCAGGACAAAGAGGGATTGTTCTATAGATAAAAAGTTGGTGCCATCATCACCATATTAGCTCTTCTTTAGAGCCACTTTTGTGGAAGCCAGGACGGCCCAGTTCACCCTATTCATTTGGGTGCATCCCATTACATTAGAACATGCAATCCATCAATGCAATCTAGCAGTGCTTACTGATTAGTTGATAAATGATAAAAAAGTGACCATAAAAAAACATAAAACCCAATTTAACTAATTTAACTTTGAGAAACAATACTTTTAGGATTTGTTCCATATTTTATATGAAGTTTAATTATTTATTGTAAAGACAAAGGAAGTATACTGTAGCATTTTCAAAACAATAGAAGTCTAAAATCTCAGGCTGTTTGATGCATGTATTCCATCATTCCTTTTTAGTTGCTTAAAAGGCTAATGTTTAGAATAATCATTTTTTTAACCATTCATCACTGCCCATTAGTTCACTTTGTTTCCTTTGTCCTTGACTTACTTTATTGTGTTTAAGTATGTCAGCATAAATGGTGTGAGTCAAGGATATCTCCCAGTCTATAAAATACTTCTGGTATAATAGCTTAAAATGAGCAGGCATTTCAACAAACTGCTTTTGATATCAATTACAGAATAATTTAACTGGCTTTTAGATAGAAATGAAGTATTATCAAAGTGAACACTGAAGATGCTTAAACATGAATTGTCATTTGATATGGAATCATAAGTTAGATCATACTCATAAAATTACACTTCAAAGTGTGTGCCCTTCCTTGGTCTTTCTCTTCATGTTTTGTTATTGTTTCTTAAAACATGCTACATGCAAGCAATCTGTAATGCTGCTTAACTGCTCCTTTCATCAGCAAGGTCTTCAGCTGCAATTATCTATATTTTAATGGATTCCTATTTAACTAATCAGTGAGATATTCAATGGAGATGCATTCACTGATTTTTTAAAAAAAATCATCTTCTGGTGCCTTCCTTTTAAATTCTTCTATGCTTTTTAATCTTTCCCTTTTTAAAGTTGTGCATATTTTTTAAATCTTTTCTCTGCAATATATTTTTATTTTGATGTAATTGTTCTTTAACTTGTTAAATTTTTAAATTGTAAGTTTGGTTCTTGGTATAATCCTATGTTTTGCAATATATTTTTAAATTATAATTTTATTGGGAGTTTTAAAAGTAAGAGTAAATATTAATACAAACTAAAATAGAATAAGAAGGGGGAAAAGGATGAAGTAAAAGAAAAACCTAATGTGCAAAAAGAAAAGAAGAATAGAAAGAAAAAATCATATTCTGATGTTCTTTATGGCAGTTATTAATACGATTGTAGATTGTAGATTTATGTCTTTCTCTAACATTTCACTGTGACTGTCTTCTTTCTATAAACTATCCTATCTAATTGCCAAAACTATATAGATCATAAGTTCATTTTTTTTCTGTTTTATGCAAATAGTTCTTAAGCAGTTTTCAGTCATTGATAAACATAGATATTATCAACTTGACCATTTCAGCAAGATCTACAGCATCATCTTCACCAACAATTTCTGTTGACGTTGTTGCCAAATCTTTCAGTCTTTGTGCATACAATAATCTCACTGCAGTTATCAACTGCAGTTATCAAAAACGAAGTTCAGTGACTTTTTTTTCCAACTATTTATCCATCAGTCCCAAGAGTAAAACTTCTGGTTTCAGTCCTATATTAATGTTCAAAATCATCTGAATCAGTATGTGTTTTACTGTACTCTAACAAATTATTGTTTTATATTATGGATGTGTGGAGAGCTTTGTTTCCTGAAAAACATACAAAATAATAATTTTCTGCCACTTTTTTTACTTGTTGTTTAGCACATATTTTTCTCCAGGCTTTCTGGAAAAAAAAAGGTGAGAAGACAAATTCTAAAACCATATTTTGAAAAACATGTGGCAGAAAGCAGGCAGAAAATGTAAACTTCAAAATTATCTGCCACATATGTACACCCTGGCAAGGTTCTCTTAAAATGTTTGCTTCAACCAGATTGATGTTCATGTGCTGGATTCTTTATGTTTAAGTTATGGCTCAATATTTATTTGTTAACTGCTGTTCCATTTATATTACAGCTCCATTTCAGACATATGAAAATCATCCCCACATCTTTCTTTGTCAGCTTCCTCATGTTGACAAGGATAGGATTTTAAGTGGATGGGAGGGACTGTCCTTGTCCTGGTCTCCCTGCCACACTTGGAAGTTTCAAAGACCTGAATAAAACTTGCCTTGGAATGGTGTGTGGGAAAGGGTTGTAGTCACTGCTATTTATAAATTCTAAGCTTCAAAAACGGAAACTGTACCTCTTAGGCTGATGACATATTTTTATGTCAGCCTTTTCAAAGCCATGCTTTCTTTTAAAATAATTTTCAGTGTATATCTAAAGCAAAAAAAAAAAAAAGCTGTACACTTTCAAAGGAGAGAAAAGGGGGGAAAAAACCCAAAGTCAAGTGATACTATTCACTATACAGTACATCAGGCTAGTAGTTATGTAGAAGGAAAAGGACCACAATAATGAATTAAAAATAATTTGGGGCTGCAAAAAAATAACTGGGACACCCATCAGCTGTTTGGCAGCTAACAAAGTGGCAGCAGTTCTGAGCTGGTGGTCATGATGGTGAGCCCTGAAGGAATGGTGGAAACTCCTGGCCCATAGGCCGGATGCATTACATGCTGGCCATGCCCACGCCCAGTTTAGCGAAGAGAAAAAAATTCCTGATATGTCACATGATGCCACTGTGACAACATGAATTTGACACTCCTGCTCTAATGTAACAGCCTCTAAATCCAGAGGAAAAGACAGCCAAGGGCAAGAAGGGCCCAACCAGGTTGCTCTTTGTATCATCACATTTCAATCTTCTCATTGGTCCTTCAGTCTCCCTTGCTGGAGTTATTTTCTAATCCCCAGATGACCTTATTGTCCTTTTCTGAACTTGTTTCAAAGTGAGATGATCAGAAACAAATATTTTATACTTCAAAGGGTATAAAATTCTGTTCAAAGCAGATTAAAGCAGAACAGTTGATTTCTGTGATTTGTGAACTCTATTTCTGATGTTGCAGTATAAATTATACTTGCGTTTTTGGCAGTAACATTTTACTGCTGTCTCATACAGTGTGTGAAATGTAGTCAGGTAGTACAACAAAATCTTTTGTACAGGTATTATTGCCAAGGCAGAAATAGCCAACCTACGTTTGGGCATTTGATTTGGGTTTCCTAACTTTACTTTTGTGTCTATTAAATAGGGTTTTCTTACTTCAGCTCTTTCCTCTAACCTACCAAGTTTTATTTCAACATTTATTTTAGATGATCACTGGTAGTCCTCAATTTATGACCAGAATTGAGACCAGAATTTCTGTTGCCAATCAAGATGTTTGTTAACTGTGTTGACCAGATTTTCACCATGATTTTAAAGTGAATTACTACAGTTCTTAAGTGAATCATGAATCCAGCTTTCCCCATTGACTTTGCTTGCTGGAAGCCCACTAGGAAAATCACAAATGGTAAACATATGAACCCAGGACACTGCAACCATTGTAAAAACATGATGGTTGCCAAATGGCCAAATTTTGATCATGTGATTATGGGGTGATCATAAGTGAGGACCAGTTATAAGTCACTTATTTCAGTGCCATTGTAACTTTGAATGGTCCCTAAACCAATGGTTAAAGACTACCTTGTACCTCACAAATTTGTATCCTTTATGAGAAATCTTGCAAACTGTAGTGAAATAATGGGAGAGTTCTATTTCTGGATCAAAAATCCAAATAAAGGATGAGAAGCATCTTATTGAACATTGATTTGCTACAGGGTAAAGATACTTAAGGTCTAATAGATTTTTCCACCCACAAAGTAATTCAAAGTTGATAATATGGAGATAAAAAATGATATTACTCTGATCTCCTCATTGATTTGGAGGTGGTTAAAGAAACTAGAATTATTTAAAGAATAACATGGAGTGATATTAATTATCACACAGATTTGATAAAAGAAAACTCATAGCAATCATAACAATAATATCAAAAAGGTGCCAAAAAGGCATCTGACTGTCAGATCATGCAGAAATGCTAAAGGAGAAGAGGCAGATCTCAGAAAACCTGAATTAATTATTTAGGTTTTTCTCCAAAGTGAAAAGTATAATACCTTATACCTGAAATGGCTTTTACAGATAAGGTGTTCTATGTACTGGGTGACATATGGATGACAAAAGACATTCTAGAATTTCTTGGCAAATTACAAATATAACAATCACTTGATTTATATGATAAACTCTTGAGAGTGTTAGGGATAACAAGGTTACCTAACGTAGTTTGGGTAAAATAATATATATAAACTATGATTGTAAGTTTAAGTGTGTCACTTTAAACTGCAAAGCATGTAATTTTGGGTGCGGTGTTGAACCGCCATAAGAGGGAGCAAGAGAACCTGATTGATTGCTGACTATACTGGATTGATGGTTTGTTAACTGCATGTTTTCCCTACTGCTGAGTTGCTGAAGGAAGAAAGG